ATATGTTGTGAACTCATAACAAATATTTAATTTTAAACAGTATAATAGCTTGTGGTATTTTAGCTAGCAATTATCTTTGTTAATTGTGCTATTTTGTGCCTTTAAAATTGATTAAATCCTTTGTATTGGTACACAAACACTGCAAACCGCCTAATGAAATTTCAAGGAATTTTCAAGGAAATAACATATACAATCTAAGGAATTTAGAGAAATTTTGATGACAAAAATGAGAAATTTTGAATTTGAAAATGGAAGCACTGGGTTATCCTCGAAAATTTTGAAATGAATCAAAACTGATATATTTTGTGAGGCAAAACCAAGTAAATAACCGCAAGATTTTCCTAGTAATTATATGTACTTAATTGGAATATAATGATCAGGAGTGATGATGGTACTACTCAAGGATTTATTAAATACGGTAGTGTGTTGTTATAATTGTGTACATTCTGATGGGGCTTTAATCATTTCATTGTGCCCCATGGGGTGGGGGCATAGGCAATATTCGTCAAGGCATTTTATTCCATGTTTGAAACTTTTAATTGATGTGTTGTTCTAGAAGGGGATTTTGCTTATTTTGCTTGCCCCTATGGGTGGGGCTTTTTCTTTCATTAGTTTCTAAAAAAGTCTATGCCCCATGTTTCCCCGGGGTGGGGTGGGGGTTTCCGATGACAAGTGCATAACTTGGTGACGCCCATCAGCTATAATTATGTCCAATCTTAATACAGGGCAGAGTCCCTTCTGAGATGGAAAATATCAAACAAGGGAATGGTCCTTTAATAACCTTATAACTAAAATTTTGATCTAAACAAAAATTTCATCACAGCTTGAAAGAGCATCACAAAATTAGTAATATTCCAAAGTTTCGTTAGGGGTCACGTCCATATTCATATTGCCATGCATAACATTGAATCAACGTTATAAGTGGGTGGTTGTGTTTATCTTAATTCTCTCGACATTATCTCTATAATCTCGTGGCAAAATGACAATTTTGTGAAAGTTTTGAAGAATGTGACTGCCAACGCTCAACATTATTTAGGGTGTGTGTGTGTTTGAGTGTTAACGTCGATTAAACGTTATGCGTGGCAACATGAATATGGACGTGACCCCTTACTAAATGTTGTAAAATGCGGATGATATAGCCTTGCGAAGTTTGCAATTCTCAGTCATTTTAGATTACAAACAGGAAATTGATACCCAAACACCTGATTTGGATTCTGATTGGCTGGACTTAAATATCAACGACCATTAAGCCCTGGGCAAACTAGGAAACATTGTTGCGGAAACATTGTTTCCTACCAATGTTTCGCCATGTTTCCCAGAGTGGGCAAACAGTAGGAAACATTAGTGAGAAACATAGGGAAACATCAAATGTTTCTGAAGTTTGTAGGAAACATTTTT